CTTAAATCAATAAATCACAAACGATTCTGCGTGGTCGAGTGTCACGATGTTGATTTCTTTATTAATAAACTCGCTCCCAGGATGGAGTCGATCGACGCACGATTATGTAAACTGCTCGATAAAGCCGCCACGTGCCTACGTTACGGCGTGTCGTACGTAACATCACTTTCACGATTCGCGCTAAATCCGTCGATGTCCGGGAGAATCAATGAACCAGACACACGTCGTATCCGCAGCGTCTGAACTCGATGAATCTCACCGGTTGGAGAGACAACGATCGCGACACGGAACGGTATCGTCGGTTATCCAGTTCTATTAGACGAAAGAGGAACAAAAAAGGACTCGGCGCGGCAGTGCACTTCATTGCTCGATGACAAAAGCTTGTTAGTGAAGCATCAATGAGCTTCTATCCGCTGGCCTTTTAGGACGTACCGGCCGTGCTATAAACTGCACAACGTCGGAGGGGGAGAGGATATGTTGACAATTTTTGGAACGTGCCCAAGGTTAATCTCTATGGCGTAATCGGGAGAAGTATAGCTTCTGTTTGTTCTAGTTCCACCCCCCTCCCGCCTTCGAATCTCTTCTTCCCACTATACTAGAGATGGCGTGCAAAATCACTAACAGTGACCTATCACAGTGATCGCAAAATCACGATCACGCTCGTGATTAAACTCCATTCACGACCGTGATCCGAAAGATGGCGTTTTAATAATGGTTCGTGTTAACTGCAATCGTTGGTGTTCCGCTAACTCTTACAAATAGTAATGTAGTCTAAGCAATGAAAAAGGCTGAGTTAAGTCTGGGTTATTATTTAAAAATGACAACACATATAATTTTGAGGGTTTTAAATTAGTCCAACTTTTGAAAATATCCTCTCGCCAATTCATCTAATATTTTCTACTTCCCATATTAAAATATATGGTAGGTTTGTACTCATAATAACTGCTTTAGCTATAATTGGCTCTTCTAATAATATAAATCTATCATGTGATATACTCGTACGCAAACACAATGATTTTAACAAAATTTTTTTTATATACTGTTATCCTTACATTATTATATGCTTAATCAAACCTTGCTGAACTGCTTTTATAATAACATTAATCATAAAGTTATAACATAAGTGACACGAATATAAATTTAATTTTTAACATTATTCATAGAAAGTTCTTGTATATTAATATGACATTTTGTATATATTTATATTATAAAGAAATAAGTCAAAATTTAAAATTACAAACAGATTAGTTTTGCGTATACATTACTTTGTTGAAAAATTTCACGAACATTTATGAAACGAATGTTGAAACAATGAGAAATAAAATTTATATTTACATCTATTTATCACTTTTAATTTTTCCTTTTCTTTCTTTTAATAAGAAATTACGTTAACATTACTTTTAGCCCATATTATGATATAATACATATACAGTCTAAGGACATAATTCGTGAAAAGTGAAATGAACACTCCCTACCAATCAAAAGCGATCACGAAGAATCACGAGTCACTGTGAAAAATCACCATGATTGGGAATGAACGTGATCGAGTCACGAGTGATTCAAAAGTAGCAGTTCACGCCATCTCTACTCTATACGATATGCAAGGCTCTTTCACGAGTCATAATAAGATTTTAGAACTGTGTCGCGCGGCAGAAAAACAGTTCAATACTCTTTAAACCAGACGATTCGACACGCCTACCATAACACGTGATATTTCCTAGATTAAAATTTTATCATACAAAATTTATGAGCAATCTAAACCTATTCTCTGGAACGTCTCGCTTTGTGTGTTAATTAACGGTAATATTATAGCAATTTCAACCCTCGGTATTATATTATAAATGTCTTGTACAATTACGGAAGAAACCATACTAATAACTGAGTCAACCGTTACGCTACGTATACATCTTATTTCGTGTTATAAAATATCGACGGAAGATTCTTTATTACTTTTATGTTTTGTATAATTATCGATTAATAATTATTTCAATTTCTAAATCGTTTGCTGGATATTAACAAAATTTCTAAAGAAATAAAATAATTCTTAAACAACCTGCATTATTATATAACGTAAAACATAACTGTACGAAATTATAAGTAAAACGATTATACGCTTCAAGAACTCCGTTTCATCTTCAATCGATAATTTTGTACGGGTAGACAGGATATTGAAGTTTACGACAGGTTTCCTCGACGCGTAAAAAGGTCGCGAAAAAATAAAATTTTTGACCTTAAGCGTTAGCGAGGTAAATGTCACTTGTGTAAATAATATCGTCATAATGTCAGCAGTTCATCGGTGAAAAAACAGAAACAGCACTTTTTAATATAAGGACACATGTGGCCATGATAGACAAAATTTTACTTAAATAAAAGACTGATAGGACCAATGTACAGCAATTTCGCGCATATAAACATTCCTTTGTTGTAAAATATTTAATTCCATAATTGAAAATTTGACTCAAACATTCCTATTTATTTTTTATATCTATCTACCTAACAATTCTGCTCACTTCAATCAGCTGTGACAATGTTTGAATCGAGTACTCTAATTTCAGAAATTATTCAAAATACATATATTTTACGTGACGATGGTTTAAATCAGTGGAATACACGAACAAATTGCTCCTAATCGACGTACTCGAATCGGAGTACTAGTCGAATAATCGAATACTCAAAAAAAAATGATTTACATCACACATTGGAAATAATTTAAGTCGCTATAAATTGCAGTAATAATTTAAATAATAGTATACAAAGAAACAGATTATATTCGATGCATACGAATCGGAGTACAACTCGAGTACTACGTTTCCGTTTAAAGATTGCTCGTAAAAATCGTATTCTAATAAAAGGAAATATTTCTCCAACGATGGAGTATTCGACTCGGTTCGATGAAACGAGTTTTACTCGACACGAATGCTTGGAGTATCCCAAGCACCTTGAGGAGCAACCACTTTACGGAGCTACGCGTTCCACGCTGCGCGGGCGAAAAAAGGGCAGAAACACTGTGAGATTGCGGTGCAAATCCGTTAAATCGAGGCTGATGGACGCCACGACTAAGGAATACACCTTCGTCCATGGATGATCTTCGCTGTGTAACTGTAAGCCTCGCGCGTATCTGCCCAAGTTCGCGTTCAAGGAACTCTGCGTTTCGCGATCCTCGAACCGCCTCCAAGAATTCTATTTACCATGTATAAAACTCGATACCGTCCATCCTAAGCACGAGAAAATGTGTATCGAAGAATATTACTTTCGTTGAAAACATTCCGACTAGTACAACACAAGACTCGTCCTTCACAACAATTGGAGTATAAAACCTCTGCAAAACAAATACTTATTTTCAGCGCCTGTAGCACGTAAAACTCGTCATTGCAAATAAAACACACGAGAGAATGTTGTGTTTGTCACGAAACAGCACTTAGTACATGAAAAGATTTATCTTTTGGTTGGAGTATGTTCTACAATTATTACAAAAGAATGTCTGTTAAAGAGTATTGCTTTGATCCAAAAATATCAACTAATATGTACAGGTAGCCCTCCTATAACACAGTTTCGCTTTAATACGATAAGAAAATTGCGAAAACCTTTGTAGAACACTGTACTTCTACAGCACTGGATAACATGGTTTTTTCTTAACATATTTGAAAACTAAATTACCTTAAAATAATGACGCGAAGGAACAATGAACTATAGTGGCTTTACATAAAATAAATATAAACAAATTATAATTTATTAAATTACGGTTGTGTTAAATTAAAATAATATTTGTTTTTAATAAATTTTCGGAATGTAACTCCCCTTTTTGTACTGGCTCTGGATCTCGTATAACACGGTTTCATGCAACACGGCATTTTCTAGGAACCTATCGACCGTGTTATAGGAGGGTTACCTGTACTTAATTTTTAACACCACGTTTCCTTCTAGTAAATACGAGTTGTCTTTGCAACTGTTAAGTGTACTCAACGGCCACGATACAAATACATTTGTCATTTCCTGTGCTTTCCACGTGTCACGAAGAAAAATCGGTTGTCCACGGCACGAAATAATTAACATTTAGCACGTTACAAACGTAATCGTAATTGTCCACGAAAGACAGGAATCACGTCGTGCGGTTAACGTTAAGAAAAAGCATCGCGTGTGCGGGGCACGATCGTACACAGAAATGGACCGACAATCCAGCTTCCATGCTAAACACGCAACGAGCGTCGAAATACAGGGCGACGGAACCGTTTAGCACATTGCGTACGGTTAATAACTCCTCGAGTTACTGTTAGAATATTTTGAGATACGCGGGGGATTGTTGGCAGACGGGAAGGCAGAGAAGGTGAGTTTTCAAGCCGGTCCTCGTTGTATCAAGAATGTCTCGAGTGCCAGTCGAGTCGGTGTGTCCCTTCCATAAACCCCCCCGCGCCTGCCTTCACCAAAGCCACAACCCAGCCTGACGACGACGTGCCTGACACTCACGATCGATTCTAAACCCGTGCGGACGCCGGCTTCGGCGTTTCGTGTACATTGTTAAAAGATCGAGTTCATCGACTGAACCGAATCCGCTGTCCATCGCGAAATCATGTCGCGCGTCTTCGATCGACCCCGTCATGTCCGACTTCCTAACGTCACACCGTACGGATCGATACTTTTTCCGAACGAATATCGCGCGAAGTTGAGCACCGTATTTCCGGCAAAGACGCCAGCGGATCGTATCACGCGTTCGCGATGAAATTAACCGCACGAGAAGCTTCTCGATACAGATTCGCGCCAGGATACGACCTGTTTGAACCGATCGCGAACCTCGCTGAAATTCTCTTCTTCCGTGTGCTCGGCTCGCGTTCCTGTCCAAGCGTCATGGAAGCATCGAGGCATCGCACGAAAATGCCGCACAGGTTAGACAGAAATCGCGATACGAGCGATTCGGGAAAGATTAACGATGGAATATCGCGTGTACCCGAGTGGCTCACGGAGGGAACGAACAAGGTGGTCATGAAGCGAATTCTTTCACTCACTTCCTCGCGGCGCATCACTTCCACCTGCAGCCGCTTCTGATACTCCTCGCATTCGTCCTTATACTTCTCCATCTCCTCCTTGGTCTGCCTCATCTTCTTCTTAAGCACGTCGAGAAGGGTGCCCTGCATTTGCGTCGACATGCTGGCAGAATACGCGCGTGTAGCGGTCCCTCACTGTTCAAACGCCGCGATCACGAGTCTCGTACGCGGATAGGATCGAGATAGAACTTGAGGAAGGTGTCAGAAAGGACAGGGATGTAAGGATAGACAATGAACACGACTTAACGAGGACGAAGTATGTCGGGGTTATGATAGGCGACCGGCACCCGTGTGAGAGAGAGAGTTTCGTAGCCTCCGAGCTGTCGTGCACTGGCGACCACTGGCTGCTGTTGATTGGAAAGCAAGATGGCCGCCCCCGGCCATCATGCGCATGCGCACTACCGCCGTGCGGACGTCAAATAGTCCTTTGCTCTTGTCGCAACGCTTGTTCGATAATATTTTGTACGAATTTCGATCAAACGAAATACGACAGGATCGTCGTTCCGTGGGTTCGCGTTTGACTGTGTATGTCACTGGAAAAATTCGATTCACCGATCGAACGAATCCTTTTGCCTTTCGTGACCGCGTCACGAATCGCGATGCGCACGCCATGTATCGCTACGCCGATCGACGTGTCGTCGCGCGCAAAGCCCCGGAAATACCGCGCCCGTCCCGAGCGCGCCTAGCCATTCGAATGGACGCTCGACAACAATCCCTGCGTTGTTTCGTCGCTTCTCCTGGTTCTCCATTCGCGTCGTGGGTCAACGCGCGTCAAGCGAGGACATCGACGGTCACCCCATCGTGAACGAAATATTCTCCCATAGAAATCGAGCGTTCGGAGCAACCGATCCTTCCTGCTTTTCGCCGGGGAACGAATAAGATGGACGAACGACGCGAAAATTTGAATAGAAACGAGGACCAACGGTTACTTCAGCGCGAATGCTCAATTTTTTCGATAATAGATTCGTTGCTTTCATCCGCTACAGACCGTACTATATTTGAGTACTCTTATTCAGTGTCATGTTTTCAATTATCTACAAATAAAGTAAATAAACAAATATTTTGAATATAGTATTTTACATGCGGCAATGGTCGACAGTTTATACTGTGTTTGTAGCAATATAAAATAGACAATCATTGTTGTCACGCATATGTGACGATGATCTGTCACGAAAATCGTAAAGTGTGGAAGCGAATGTGTTAATTGCAATAAAAAAATCGATTAGTTCTCAATATTTTTCCAGAAAAGATTCGATAACACGTATGTACGTGATGACAACAGATACGGATATCAACGCGCCATCTATGAAGTTTCTGATGCAATCGGAAATTGAAATTGACATATGGTGGACGTTGAAATTCATTCCATTCGGTTGGTAAGTAGCAACGCGAAAAAAAATCATGACGTAAGCGCCGGGACTATGCGTCAGTTTAGTGACGTGCGTCACTTTACCGGAAATCTAAGAATAAATTAAATAATCACAATTTCAATTAAAAAATATAAATTTCGGCAGTGCAATAATTATTTTTATGCTTTTGTTATTTGTCGATAAACATTTGTATGCTTTTCGACTCAAGAGGGAAAGCCTTTTCAAGCTTAAACAATTTTAAAAATAAAAGTTAAATTAATAATTGGTAACACAATAATAATGTTAGAATAATGCAACTGAAAATAAATAATTTATACTGTACAAAACGAGACAATTCATAATATGTAATTGTATGTTATTATATATAAAATAACACAATAGTGTCTCCGTATATATCAATATTCTATACATTAAAAATATTTCTATATTATTTATCAACGTTTTCAAGAACAAAAAGCCTTGTACGTGCATATGTTTCACGTATAACGACGCCTATCATAGCTCCACCTAGTATTCAATGGTCCTACTCTAGATTCAAATAGTGTTCAGAAGGGTTTCCCCCGAAAAAGAGCAATCAATTCATTCTTAGGTCCGAGATGAACCTGTGACTCGTTGCAGGGGTTATATGAACAATGCCGGCACAGATGGCAGCACATTGATTCGCGAGAAATCGCGGAATGCGATGCGCAAACATCGTAGATAAACGCCACAGAAACTGATCCGGCGTTTCAAAGGTCATCGATGGAACAAATGTGTAATATGCATATAGCACGTGCTCCAAATTCGTGCAATACTCGGCGGACGTTTTGCAACGGCGTTAATACGTTGCAACGTCGTCAGTTTAAACGCTTCTAACGAAGCGGATTTGTGGGAGTGCGTTCCGGGAGCTTACGCAATTGCCCTCTCGGAGTGTCGAATAAAAGAGTTGCTGGATCCGTGTACAACCGCCACGTATTTTTAGAATGTTGACGTGCGTTATTCGTGTTTAGTTTAGACAGACGCCAGCGACGTCAGGACAGACTGGGGTCCGTTAGTACAAAGATCCTTCAAGCCTATTTCTTGCCGGTAATCGTGTACCATTGACCCTGCGAAATTACTCATTATATAACGACGAGTCGTTTCGAAAGAATGTGTGATAATTAAAAGATAAGGCGTCAACGCATAGAGGCGTGGAAAAAATGTATTTCAGAAAGTTTTCGAGTGACGAATATATTGCAATAATTTTTATTCTGTTTGTGGGTGAGTGGTTAAAAGTATTTGCACGTTGCATTCGGTAACTACGCAACTACAGGGTATTTCACCTAACTTGACCACCTTAAATATATCGCTTATTTTGTATGATAGAAAAAAAGTCAAGGGGAGAAAGTATTCTGTTTGAAGGCGCCAATACGGTGATGGATCGAATTTTTTTTTCAAGGTCATTTTTTCGAGATTTCAAGATCATCGTATTTTTTTTAAATGGGACCACATATTTTCGCTACAACAGTCTTATAGCTTATAAAAAGACGAATCCAACGATGTGCGATATGTTGACCTTCACGTGACCTTTAGCGAAGGAATTATGAAATGTTTGTCAGTAACTTCAGTACGCGTTCGGAGACGGTAAATGAAGGAATTTCAATTTCATTGAAACAGTGTACCGTGTAATTGTTTCTGGTGCTTATAAATAGATATTCATATTCTCCTTTCAACGGTTGAAGTATGTTTACAAGCATTATTATTGTAAGAGGAGAATGACCGAAGCGGGTCAATAGCGCGTTGTCAAAAAGCCGCGACGTACACAACAAGTTGCGGTATCGATAGCAGTGTAATAAAATTCTCCATCATGTACACTACAGCAGAAAAAGTGGAAATGATTTTATGATCGCCGGATCTTACGCCACTTGATTTCTTTCTGTGGAGGCACCTAAAAAATACAGTTTACAATGATATTCCCACAACAGCAGAAAACATGCGACAAAGGATTCTACATGCATGTAGATCAATTACTGTAGAACAACTGAAAAATGTTCAGCAAGAATTTATTTACCGCCTCCAAAAATGTATCCAGGTTCACGGATATCCTTCATTTACCGTCTCCGAACGCGTACTGAAGTTACTGACAAACATTTCATAATTCCTTCGCTAAAGGTCACGTGAAGGTCAACATATCGCACATCGTTGGATTCGTCTTTTTATAAGCTATAAGACTGTTGTAGCGAAAATATGTGGTCCCATTTAAAAAAAATACGATGACCTTGAAATCTCGAAAAAATGACCTTGAAAAAAAAATTCGATCCATCACCGTATTGGCGCCTTCGAACAGAATACTTTCTCCCCTAGACATTTTTTTCTATCATACAAAATAAGCGATATATTTAAGGTGGTCAAGTTAGGTGAAATACCCTGTATAGAATACTTTTTATTCAGCTTTATCGTTTTATACCGACTATATAGGTATCTCGTAATTTCCTGGTCAGTGAATGCCGAATATATTTGCATTGTATATTTACTAGCCGAGTGAATGCGAAATACCTCATTAAGCTTTATTGCTCGGTACATTCTAATCGAGTAATGAAAGTCATGTGTTGTTGACGTAAAGAAATATTTTAATAATAATACGTTTCTATTATAAACCTTACAAATTCATGGATTTATTCTTTTATGCATAAATGATTTATAAATACCTATAAAAATGACGAATTAAAACAATGATGTTTCATTTGTCAGTGAAACGGAATGTAAGTATTCTTCCCTAATCAGATATCGAATACAAAATAGTGTATTTGGTATTCGACGAAGCATCGAATACAAGTTGCAAGAGTATTTAATATTCAACAGCATGAATGCATACGAAATACAAGTGAATGTCGATATTTTATCAACGCAGTGAGAACAGTTGTTCCAAGCACTGAACGGTATTATATTATAAAATATCGTTCATAAAAATATTTCACTTTTAACAGCAACGTTACTTTTGAATGGTAGTGTACACTCAACGAGGTGATAACACCTCCAAATTTGGTATAGCTGCATCTGATATGTGACCACGTCATGTTTACTCAAAAGGTAGGTCATATGTCGAAAACGAATCAGTGAAATCGTTGTTGGTCGATAATTAAATGATTTGCACTATTCGACGCACGGTTCGTTTGGTTGCCTGTAAAAGAATGTTGTTTATCGTGCCCGGCGAGAGAATCATGCCTAACCCATTGTCCCCGTTCACTAACCCTAACATAAGTGTTCTTTGTCGGGCGATCGTGCGTCGTTAAGCACCGCAAGTAGTCTTTCGGCGTTCGAATGCGCTCCTAATGGCCGGTTAATTATTATTACACGGTGGCGACCAGCTGTGCGTTATTCATTTATCGCGACAACGCGAGTCGATTTCGTTTTCCCAGTTGGCAATGAGCAAAATTAATGCCTCGATCGTTGTGGCCTTTCTCTAATCAGCATTCGCGGCGGTTCGGTAAGTTTCCAGGATGTTCGCAGATAGAGCGTGTAGTTAATATTTATAAAAGAGCAAATAAGATCCGTGTCGCTGTAACTTCGAGACAGCGTCCGATTTAATGGGCCGCGTAACGTCATCGCGGGTAACCGCTAGATCACCTAACCTAACTGCGCCGTATTTTTACCGGCCTCTTCTCCTTATACGGTATCGAATTCACGGAGATTATCTCGTACGAGAAGACGGTAAAACGAGAAGACCGAGAGCAAGAGTGAACACGAGTCATCGCGACCGAGAGAGAAAGCAAGACTTTGTACGACTGGCTCGTTTTGTTATCAAGGGCCGAATGACCCCTCGGGGACCCATTGACCGACGTCACCAGCGCGTCAAGGTCACGTCACGCGGCGACCTTCCATCACGTAACGCGTCTACGTACCGGGCGCATCACCGACGCATCATGCGATACTGACCCGTTTCAGCTGGTTTCCCATAATATTCTGCAATTCGTTCCTTATGAGACTGAATTTCATCATCGTGTCGCTGGAGAATATGGAGGAACCGAACGCCAATCCAGGATAATCGGCGCATCTCTTTCTTCTGCTGGCCTCTCTCTCGGCCTGTACCTCTGCCCTCTCGCTGGGACATCTTAGCTTGGCGAGTTCAACGAGCTCGGGATCCTCCTCGACGTTCGTCGACTCATCGTCGGAGTTCCCGTCACCGCGAGCCCTCGCGACCGCGTGCTCGGGCTCCGGCGATGTTCCTTTGCTTCTCGACTCGATAAATTCATCCACGGATGTACCCTTCCCTCGTGGTCCCGTCTGAGACCCGTCCAATGGTTCGATGTCGAAGCTGTCACAGCTCTCGTAGTAGTTGTCATAGAATTCGTTTTTCTCACGAACGGACTGCTCGTGTCGTTCGTCGAGAACGTCCAGGCTACACTGCGCGAGCCTTCGTCGGACGTTCTCCCCTCTGTCATCGTTCTCGAGATCGTTTTTGACCGTGTCAGTGTCCTCTTTCGACGTTACGTCGTTTTTCGCGGACACGGCCGCCGTCGGATCGCGTAGCCACCTCGCGCCGACGATCGTGGCTCGTGTCACCGCAGGCGAGCATTCCGTATCGATGACATTGCTCTTTTCATCGAGCCTCGGTGACGTTGTCGTCGACGGTGTCTCGTTATTGGCGATCGACGTATCCTTAATAACGCCAGCAGGGCCACACTGCGCGGGTCCTCTGCTGGAGGCGTCGAGACGTCGGCGCGTAGCGTGTCGCGGATGATGCTGATGACCGCGACGTCTCGTGGTCGACGTAAGAGCTGGCTCCATACTACGTTATCCAACTGTCAAACCCTCTCCTAACCCCTACGTTCCACTATTTTTTTTTTTATTTTTTTTTTTAACGTGCTACACGCACCACCGTTGTTACCACCGCACAAGGCACACCGCCATCTTGTCTGTCACTGTTCGTAACACGTTTCTCACCGCGCCACGCATACGTCCTTCTGTCCGCCTTTCTATGTGCACGCGCACGCACACACCGTGTCGTACAGAGGAACGCATGCACGAGAGGAGAGACACGTTGGTCTCCGCTCTCCGCACCGTCCTGCTCTGATTTCTATCTTGCTTTCACTCTCTCTGTCTCCGTCTATTGCTCTATGCGCGATCCAGGTTACCCCCTCCGTGACCACCCACGACACGGCAACGAAGTCTGCCGAGCGTCGCCGAACTAACGAGGCGGCGGCCACGCGTACTAACGCTCGACTGGTCGCTCACTTCGCGGGGAACCCACACTTTCGATGCTGAGCGCATGCGCACGATCGCCGCGACATCTCGCAATCGGTAAACGTCAGAACGACGTCGGTAACGATGCAATGATTGATAAGGGTT